ACTTACGGTCGGTTCAACGAGAAAAAAAATGCCGAAATGACCGAGACGGCGTCAAAATTATTTTTCGTATTTTGTATAATCAAGGAACTTCATGTATACAGTGCGGTTCAGGCTGACGTGTAGAGCCTATTCGTCGAATTATATATAAGGCAAAACAAATGTGTATGATTTGTATTCGACAGACACCGTGACATTAATGCCGACAACAGCATCCTGAGAAGATATTGCGGGCAGGTTTATCTCGTACTTGAACTGGTATAGCGCATTACGGGGAAGAAGAAACGGCCGAGCAGACCGACACAAGAGGACAGAGCGCTTATCTCGTATTTTGAGGCAAGTATTGAGGTTAAACATGCGTGCACCCATTCGTGCGACATGAACGCTGCCGAATAGGGGTCGTTTTGAAAAGTAACCAGAACTGGCAAACTTTTTTCAGTTTGAAGTCTGCATGATACATTATTATTATTATTATTATTATTATTATTATTATTATTATTATTATTATTATTATTATTATTATTATTATTATTTGCAGAGCACGAGAGGGGCTCAAGAGGCACTTAAAATTGATGAAATAAATAGGAGGCAATGGTCCGTACTGAAGCAAAAAGATAATTAGTAAACGATTATATTACTATCAATGACAAAAATTGTGGTAGGACGCTGTAACTACAGATAGCTTCATCGTAATCTATGATTGATTAAAAGGCTAGGAAATTAAAAAAAAGGGTTCGTTGAATAATGGAATGAATGAGCCTCTGTATACTAATGTAGCACACGTTTTTTTTTTTCGCTGATAAATGTACATATTCTGTCAACCCTGAAACACTTCAATAGAAAACTGATTCATTTCTTCAACGTGCAATATTTTTTATCGCTTACTTGCTTGCGGTATGTTTGTTTACCAATGCTGTACTTTTGAAATGAGCGAACTTTCTCTTGGGCCACGTTAAGGCTTTTTTTTTTTCGTCTTGTCTTCTAATGTCTATTTTTCATTCACTATATAAGTCAGACATGGCCTAGTTGATCTCCTCTGAACCGTAACCAGCGTCAACACCCAGCATGTACAGCTCAACAGTGTGGTACATACGTTGCCTGCAGGAGTTCCCCAAGAACATATCGCGAACATGTCAGTTCTGTGTTTTGTATCTGATGCCTGAAAATAAAGAATTGAATTGGATTGAGCACCTGTAGCCCTTGCGTTTTAGAACTAGAGTATCTATAAATGCTACACAATTTCAAACTTTCAATGAGTCTATTCCTCAAACTGATGCTGCGCTGGTACGCATCTTAAAGACCTGAACGTTAAGGAGAGTGGGGACACGAAACACTCTCTCATTTTTCACATTGTTACCCCCCAGGTGTCAAGGAGATTCGATCAATGTTTCCTAAGCTACGCCGCCGGATCACGAGATCGCGGCGCGGTGCGACAACAGTCAAAAGTCGTACGCGGTCAATCACTCGTGGAATACACCTTCCCGTCGGCAAGGCATGCTTTTTACCGCAGACCCGCAGCGCTTACCTATAAGCGCTTTCGGTATGCGTATACGGCCCAGTCGATTCGAGAGAGCCCCGTGATGTTGTCCAAACGAAATTCCTTCGCGACGTGCTTTGTCGCGGACCGACGTGACTCGCTGCTCGACAGCGCTCCGAGTGCGTCGTGCGGGGCGACGCGAACTCGTCTTCCGTCGCTCGGCGTGCGACGATTTCTCGACGTCTCGTCAACGCCCGATGACACAAAGGGACGAATGCCGGCCGACACGTTCTCGCCTCCCCGTGCGTATTTCGAACTGCTCTTTACCAGCACTTCATGACATTTTTCTTTTCCCTGCTAAGCATGTCTGTTAAAATCAAGGCTGGAAAGCAAACTTTTGTTGCGTTTTTTTTACATGTGTACACGTTTGAAGTTCGCCTTTTGTTGTCGTTGTTTTTGTTGTCTCTCACTCCTCCGCTGCCTAGCTGCCACTGTGTGACACGACATGTGTTGTCAGGCGTAACTTGATGCTGTAAACACGTTGGCCGTTAACACACACCACATCAAACAAGCAAATATTTTTCTTTAACAGCACGGCATCTGTACGCATGCGATGACCTGAGCGCTTCTGCAGGTTTCTTCTGCCCTTCAACCATTATCAGGTGGTTGTTTAAAATACCGCACTCCTTATCGCACGAGAGCGCAGAGCTATAGCAAAGATTGATGTCGCCCCCATATACGCGCAAAAAGGGTTACCACCATCGAAGGTCGTCATCCTTATACCGACTCTTGTGGGTGCCCTTAGCAGACTCACCCGCGAGGGGACCAAACAGCCCTATACCATTGCAGCATCACAAAATCCTGTAACAAAACTATCTCACGGGGGGTGTCCCTGCACAGTGCTGGGTACCTTCGCACGTAGGCATTGCGGGCAATGAAGAATCGGATCACCTTGCTTCGTCTTGTAACCGTGATGATCGTGACTGCCTGGAAATTTCTTGTATGATGGACAACGCTCGTATGCTTATACGCCGACGCTGACAGCTCCTAAAGCAGCACCCGGATCAGCGTGTGACAAACGTATGGTTCCCTCCACGTGTTTCTGGCCGTGGCTTGCCTCGTTGTTCCACAGAGCTGTTAGTTTAAAACTAAGTGTAGGCTCTGTGCTGGTGCGCGAACGATTACACCGTCAAGGTCGTGTTGACAGTTGGTTGTGCACAGCTTGTGGCTACTGCGAAACACCTGAGCATCTCATAGTGCATTGTGCCGCATTCGATACGCAGTGGACTTGGCTTGTTAAGGAAAATAAATTTCTGAGATTTAAGTGCGCCACCATAGACGAGAACCTCTTTCCGAGAGGTCGTGCTTCCCGACGCGAGCAGGACAATGCATCACGCTCAACTGACTTTTAAGGACCAAACAGACCTGGCCACCCGATTGTTGACGATTTTCTAAAAATTTCTACTTTACTCGTGCTTGTCTGAGCCATCGTAATTTTTTGTTTATTTTCTTTTTTTACTCTTTCTCTACTCCAATCTTCCTAACTTCTTCCCTCCTCCCGAAATAGTAAGCTGGCGTTGTGTCCTTCCAAATGGCAGTTTCTGCAGTTACCTCTCTCCCTCTTTAACCTGTGTCCTTGTGTATACGTGTGTGCAAATCAAAAAATAAATAAATTTCAGTGACGAAAGTTCAATGCTTCGCATGGTGCGCAGGAGAAATTCCTGGTTGTCACGTTTAGTTTGATGTTTTTTTCTTTTTTGTATAATCAGGTGGAACATAACACATTATCTGACGTAAAACATCAGTGTTCGTGCAATCGTGCGTTTGTTGAAAAATTTGGCGTTGGATAACTATCACTTGAATAAAATCATTTTTGTTTATTGCGAAGCAGGCTTACAAACAATATTTGCAGGCCCGCCGCGGTGGTCTAGTGGCTAAGGCACTCTGCTGCTGACCAGCGGATCGAATAATCCCGGCTGCGGCGGCTGCGTTTCCGATGGAGGCGGAAATGTTGTAGGCCCGCGTGCTCAGATTTGGGCACATGTTAAAGAACTCCAGATGAACTAAATTTCCGAAGCTCTCCACAACGGCGTCTCTCATGATCATATGGTGGTTTTGGGACGTTAAACCCCACAAATCAATCAAATCAAATGAATATTTGCAGCCACCAAGCGCGTTCCCATTTTGTCAGGGCGCCCACGGCTTTTGCTGTCGAGAGGTGGCACACAGCGGCACGCACTGCGAAATCAGCGGATGCACATGAGGAAAAAAAAAGTGCTCTTTAACAACCAGGTTACTTAGATGTGTACTTTTTATTTTTTATGTGACCATATTTCATTGACCATATTTGAGTTTTTCAGTACTAAAAAGGCTATGTCTTTCATTGTCGAGGCGCCAGTCACACTTTAACTTGTCGTTAAGTCGCCGAATGAATGCGCCTATTCTGAACAGTTCATGTGCCCAGCGCGAGCAATCCGCCGCAGTGGAGCAGTGGTGGCTCGGCTACTGACCAGAAGATTTCGGGTTTCATCTCGGTAGCGGCGGTCACATTTTCATGGAGGCGAAACGATGCTAGAGGCTTGTGCACTGTGCGATATTCACGTTAAAGAACACTATAGATGGCCAAAATTTTCGGGGTCCTCCACAATACACCATCTCTAATAATCACATCGTAAGTTTGAGACGGAATACACTTGGTGTCCCAGGGAAAACATAGTTATAACAGTGGAGCTGTTTAATCTTCGGGTAATTACGGCACTGGATGCAAAAACTACCTAAAGGTATGCTCCACAGAAAGTGGGTACGTGCCAAGCAGCTCCTAGCACGTGAGTGCTCGTACAGTCGCCCTCTCAATTTGTGTGTTGTTCATTTGAGCTTAAATCTATTCGCAACAAAGCATTCTATAAGTGATAGCATGTGTGTTTAGCAAAGATTAGGAATGAATGAAACAATGTTATTTGTTCTTTATATTGTTTTTCGGTATTTTTCTGCTTACCGGACTATTAACCTTGTTAACTTCCGGTTTTGCTTTCATTTATTGTTTTTTTTTCTGTCTCGTTGATGTTTCTCCCACTCTGTTTTTATCCAAACGTTAGGAAAGCTACGTAACCGAACACAACACTTGTTATTCAGGAAACGAGTATCCTGCCCTGTAACCCTGTGCTAGCTACAACCGTTCATGGCTTCCATGCAGCTCCTCCTTTCCCGCACAAGAGGCGAAAATAGCGCGCGGTCATTCGCCGTCCATGCTCGCGCGACACATGGTATAAGAAGAAGACCGAATAGAGACTGATCGTCCACACACACTGCGGCGGCATGTGCAGGCGCGCGATTTGCCCGACGGCCGCCGAGACCGACGATTTTCGGAGCTTTTCAAGCGCGAGCCGCGTTCATTCAACGCCGCTTTACGACGGCCGCCAGCGACGGTCGAGAAAAGAAGGGCTCGCGCGTGAACGTCCTTAGAGAATCGTGGCCCTCGTACATCACTCCGCTTCCTGCTTTATTTCTTCTTTCTTCCGATTCGCAGGCCAACTCGATAAGGCAGGGAGGGTACGCGTGATTGCTGGGACGCCATCATCCTGACACCAAAGACGCTCCGGGGAGGCACTTCGTCCACAGGCCGGCCGGCCCGCTGCCCCGTCCGTAGGCCCGGCAGCACTGGCGGTCTCTTCCCCTCACCAACGCCTCGCTCCGGTTCCCGCAGGGTGCACAAAAGGTGAGAGTTCAATCACGTACGGCTCTGGGAAGGCAAAGTGATTCGCGACAGAAATAAGTGGAAAGCGGTGGGCGTATCAGTGGCGGACAAGTAAGGAGAAAGGACAAATAATGCTTTGAAACCGAGGCTTGGTAATACCGAAAGTACGTGTATCTTAGATAGTCGTTGGATGCTCATTTCCTTATCTTAGATACTCTTGTTAATGGATGCAAAATAGTTAGAGTCCCGAGTACTTATATTTAGTTAAAGAACCCCAGGTGGTATAGGAATTCCTGGAGTCCTTCACCACGGCGCCTCTCATGATCATATCGTGGTTTTAGTTCGTTAACCCCCACAATTGTTCCTACATACTCTTTGGGTACGTTGTATATGTATCGATACGTCTCACAAGACAAGTATATACCTGCGTCTGTATTTTCGATACGCCTGATATTGCATCGTTTATCTTAAGGTACGAAATACTTCCATCAGCACGACGTGCCAAAGAGTAAGCGTTGACTTAACTCCGCTTCTCAAGCTGATACGGCTGCCACTAAGCCACCTGAACGCAACGAGATTCTTTTATCTTACCAGTGCACAGTCCTCCAGCGAGGGCAGGCGTCGAGGTGTGCGCGTCGCTATTGATGGAGCAAAGTCACACGGCTTAGCTTGCGCCATCTCGACAAAAACAAGTGCGCGAATGTATACAAGAGCGTCCGACCGTCCGTTTTGTCGGTATCATCTTTCTTCATTAGTTGTCGGTTCCAGGACATTTGCTCGCAGCTACACAGTACTGTTCTGCATACTCCAATGCACGCGGCGCTCCTGGTGCAAATTCTGATGCAGCTGTATTGTCGTTATCGAGTTATCTCTTCTTTGATGGTTCGTTACGAAGTCCAGTGGAAGAATGTGACAGCCTTGCTTCTCGCCGGCATCAAATGAGCATCGAAAGCGTTATTCGAAGGTCGCCGGATCGGTCCCTGCCAGCGACAAGCTATCTTTTCGTCCACTTTTCTTTCTTCACATTCATTACAATTACAACATCTCTTATTCTTTCTTTGGTGCCATCATGTCTGTTATTTTTTTGTTATTATTGTGTCTAATGAAGAAAAACTAGCCTTTGAATGTCCGCTTCTTTTCTTCTTTCACACATCAGTGGTTTGAAAGACAGCGTAATTGCAAGCAGTATTTATTTTGTGTAAATGAGACCCTGGCAACCGTCGCAAAACAGGTGCTAATGCTAGATAAAATAGAACAAGCATCCGACTAACATGTGATGTTTTGGCACATTGTTATTGTTTTTTTCTGCTACATTATGCAAATAGTTCTTTTAACCATAATTAGATTGTTAGCACAAGTGCCTCCCGGTGTCCTCCATCTGCCTGAGAAAATGAAAAACTGTTCGCAATATATTACTTCTGTACGCCTTCAGAAATGGGATGCGGCTTTAAAAAATCATGAAGACTTTAACAGAACAAAAACCATGGTTGCATGTTCGCAAATTCCGTATAAAAGTTTAAAAACCATTACGTGTTAGCGTATAGTACCACCGCCGAATGCACTTACACTAAGCACATAGCGCACGTCATGGGCGTAGCCAGGGGGGGAGCGCCCTCTTTTCCAATTTTTTTTAATTTTCTTGTGTATACATACAGGCAAGCACACATACAAACTCACATACGAACATACGTAAACTATATGGACCCCCCCCCCCCCCCTACAAAAGAAAAAGTCTGGCTACGCCCCTGGCACACGTAATGTAAGTATCGCTTTGTTTTTACCAGAAATATTTAGCCACGACTATCCAGTCATGCATCTTAGCCTACCGAACTGCGGCGCTAAATGAAAGGGCGTAATACCGGGGGTCCCGGCAAAAATGTAGCTTTAACCGCGGAGCTGTTTATTTTGGGACAATTCTGGCGTGGGGTGCAAAAGGTGCTCCACAGAAAGCGGATACGGGCCAAGTAGCTCCTAGCTTATACAGTATAGTCGCACATAATAAAGTATAGCAATGGGGGTAGGGGGGGGGGTGTGGAAGGCTAGCGATTATGAGGAGGAAGGAAAGGAAGATGCCTGATGTTATTGGCACAGCCTTAGATAGCATTGTTTATTTAGCAAAGGTGACGAGGAGGGAATGAACGAGGTGAGAGGGTGCGCCATATTAGCACAACCTTGTGCAGTTTAGCGCGGGATGGGAAAGAGAAGCGAGGGTGAGAAAGAGTGATAAGAAGGTTAAGTCCAGGGAACTGGTGGAAAGAGGGCAATGTACAAAGAGATAAATCTTCGCTCACCAACAGTGGTGCTTGTTTAGTAGCTTCATTGTCTACTCAGCTTGCGCAGGCGTGGAACTGCCCTTTAACTTTTTCTTGAAAGAGAACGATTCCCACTTGAAGTCAGCTGATGACCCTTTAAATAAAGTTTCATGTTCCACTGCCTATTTTTTATTCATACTTGATTTAGGGCATTCAGTGTGTCTCTGTGCGTGATATAGAGATAAAAGAAATGCCGTGAGGCTAACCAGGCCTGAATAATGTCTACTAATTGAAAAAAAAAAGCGCGAGCAGGCAAAATAAAAAAAGAAATCTATCGCCATCCATTGTCAGGTGTCACCGACGTAGCGAATGTTTGGACTTATGATTCATCGTGAGTAGCGCAACTAGACGTGACACCAGAACGGAACAGACAATCGCAAGCGCACTGTGCTCCTGTGCTTGTGGTCGTCTTTCAAAGTAGCGACTTTTTTAATGTAACCAATGTCGCCACCGCCAAATCGCATACGGTCACTCAGGCCGGCCTACTTAAAGAATGATTGATTGATTGATTGATTTGTGGGGTTTAACGTCCCAAAACCACTATTTGATTATGAGAGACGCCGTAGTGGAGGGCTCCGGAAATTTTGACCACCTGGGGTTCTTTAACGTGCACTCAAATCTGAGTACACGGGCCTACAACATTTCCGCCTCCATCGGAAATGCAGCCGCTACTTAAAGAATGGCAGCAGAAGAGAGTAAGAGTTAAGGTTAAGTGATAGGCAGGAAGGTCAGCCAGAAGAAAATTTCTGGTTTACTGCTCTGAACTAGGGAAGTAAAAATGGGAATAAGAAGTTAAGGAGGAAAAAAGGAAAGAATTATGAACAACAACAACAACAAAAAAAGACTTGCACGCACTCGAGCCCTGGATGTCATAGTCGTTTAGAGAGTCTGGTTGACCACAGAAACCTCAGCAGCGCCTTCTTCGCTTTTTGGTTGGAAGCGCGAACGCTCGGGCAATCCAAAAGTTGCCTGTTATAAAAAGCGGCCGGTCATCGAGCCGTGCTAAAGTTGTCGAAAGTAGTTGTCTTTGGGAGCTGTGGGGAGAACAACGACAAGGAACATGCACAATTTTCCCCGCTGCCACAGTGATAGCAAAGCTGTTCGTGAATGACACGTGTTCCAAGCCCCAAACGGTAGATGACTGTTGTTTGGGATCGGGATAGTCCGGATGGAATTCAAATCTAAGGGTCCAGATGGTGAACGCGGGTGGGCAGAGAACTTATCGTGTTTCATATTGAATTTGTTATGCCACGTGCGAGGGAGCGAATCTTAGTTGCTGCATCGGTTCTTATCACAGGAGTGGCTTCCTGTACGCCACTTTCATGAGTATTTGTGACAGAATTATTGAAAAATGCCAGCGAAGCATCTTCAGAAGCTGTGATGTGCGTAACCTTAATTTTGTGCCTTGAACATGCACTGGAAGAAATAGGGACAATGAAGAGTTTCGTTACTGTGCAAGTTTCACATGCCCTTCACAGCTCATAGTTTCATGACTGCATTTCATTGAAACCTCATGGTTGCATTTTGTTGCTCTATTCTGTGTTTACTAAAAACGCACAGGCTTGATCCACTATGTAATATTCTAGACCCTTAGATTATATGGACGCTTGTGGGCACTATATATTGTGGGCACTATATATATAGACTATATGGTCGCTTGCGTACGCTATCCGCTTAGACCCCAGCAAAACTAAGTCTAGATATCAAGTATTGTAGGGTGTGCTAATAGTAATAGAACCATCTTTAAGAAAAGAAAATGCCCGTTTAAGAGGCTTAGCGTGCATCAAAGGAGAAACTGGGTTTCCAATGCTGTACGCTATATACCGCTTTTTTTTTTTTTTTTGTGGACAGAAACGACTGCGCTTAATTTTGGTTTGGATATTTTTAAGGCTGCCCAATAATATATACTTCGTTCGAACGCGAACATGTCTAACTGTAGACGAAGTGCCTAACTGGAACGGCTTTAATGTGAATTAACGCCACGTCAGCCTTCTGTTTGGTTATGAACATTACAGCGCAAAGAGGCAGTCGTTGGCGACGTAGGCTTAGCGACTTCGGCGAAGTGACCGGGATAACAAGACGCACCGTCCAACACTCGTTAGGATGTTATCGACGACATAGCTAGGAAATCGAAATGACTTCGCGAATGGCGCAGTATCATATGAAGCACGACAGAGGCCGCGTCGTAACAAAGTGCACTATGTGCGAGTATTGAGAACAAATGCTGGCGCCTTCCTCGTATTCTGTTTAATACTGAACGTGGGAGGCTGATATTCCTGGTACGGTTTCTTCCTTGATAACCGAATGCCCGCTCCCTTCGTTTTCCTTAATACTCACCCACGCGAGCACACGTCCGACAATTGTGTGGACGTCCACGCATGGTTCCTGCTTCGTTTATCCTTGTTGGTTTCTTTCTTTTTTCAGCTTTTGTTTATCGATCAAATCAAGAAAAAGAAATGATTGGTCTCTATGGTTACGCCTGCTTCAGTTTTCCCCGCTCTGCCTTGCGTGCTCATCGTCACTTAGCGTGCGAACCTAGTGACAATAACATGAAACACTTTCAGTGCAGGCTATAGCTTCTTTGCGCACATGCATGCAAACTCGACGTGGCAGCAATGACATTTTCACGGCCACAGCAAGTCGACCTTGTAAAAATCAATTCCGCAAGAGCAGGCCGATATGGCATGGCATTAAGTGCTAACTGTCGCG